AAATAATTAAATAAGCCTCAAATTAGCGGCCTAAAAAAAATAATACTATGAAGAAAAAATTATTCAATGCTCCTGAAACAAATCTAAGTGGTGCTCTAAATGAGTAATTATTGGTTTAAATCATGGATCTACAATATATGGGTTGGTTTGGGAATTGATTTGTTTTTAATTTTTTATAAAAAAATATGTAAAAAAATAAACGAAATGAGTTGAATTTTTAATTTTTTAACTAAATTAACATTTTCTGGAACAAGACCTTGTAAGCACCCCTAAGATTTAATCCAATAGATTGGCATATTTTGGTTGACTAATCACATTTCATGAATGATGTGAAAATGAAACTGTGCACTTTTTAAATTTGAGTCTGTGCTGATAAAAAAATAATTGGCAAATATTAACAAATGTTCTCTATACATTATTTAATATTGGGATTAGTAAAAAATTAAAAAAAAAAAAAAAAAACTGTTTCAATATGAGTAAAAATGTGTTATAGAACTCATGAAAAGTGTATTGAGTTTACATCTATTTTTTCTTTTTTTTTACTCCTAGAGTACTTGTTAATAAGACTCAAAATAATTTGACTTCTATTTTGTTATTATTAATTTTTAACTTAAATTAAGTTGTGTCAAATATACCCAAAATCAGACACAATTTTTTTGTTTGTATGTGATCTATCAATTAGTTTAACACATATAATTAAGTTGTGTTTTCCAATAAACTAAACTCTGATGGGAGAGCCAAAAGAGATCCGAGGCGAGCAGGCTAGGGCGGTGTTAGTGAAACAAGAAGCTAGGTTTATCTTGAAAATTGCTCAAGTTTTGAAGTTGAAATCTGAAATATTTACAATTGGGCTAGCAATAAAATCTTGTAAAAAAATTTAGAAAAATGTTATGAAACTCAAATTTTCTACCAAACTTCTCACAGGTGTGGGACCCACGCAAATCCACAGGTCCCACACTCAGAAGTTTAGTAAAAAATTTAATAAATTATTTGAAATCCCTAACCTAACTCAAAAGCTTATATATGAAGTCGAAATCGAGTCTTGACTCCATGATCACTGTTAATTAACATTGTTGAAGAAGGTGCTACTGAAATTCCCACAAAAATGTGAATGTTCCTTGTCACATGTTGTTAGTGAAGGGAACAGCATTGCAGACACCATGGCAAAACTTGGAGTGAACCAACAGGAGCAAGTGAGGAAGACCAGCGGATGCAATTAAGGGTTTGCTTATTGATGATTCTAAAAGTAACAGCATACGAAAGTAAACAACAAATTTGAATTGTTTTAAAACAAATTCACTACATGAAAAAAGAAGAATGGGCATAAAATAAAATAAAATAAAATAAAAAGTATTTATTTACCACTAAAAAATAAATAATTTAATTTAAAAATTGTATTTATCATCTATTTTTAAAAAAAATAAATATCATAAATTGAATAAGTTACAATTATTAACATAACTTAATTTTCATACCAAAAAACAAAGGGCACGTAGAGATCCATTTCCAAGGACATTATTTATCCAAACAGTTCCGATTGACAGCTCGAAAACAACACGGCTCGAATGGCCTGAGTCCAAAACAACATCGTTTTGAAATTTTTTTTCTTTTCTTTTTTTTCTTTTCTCTTTGAAGATGAAGAACAAAGAAAGAGAAGAGGAAGCTGGGTGTTCATCTTCATCAACAACGACACACACACACACACAGAAGAGGAATTTGGGTGTTCACCTTCATCAACATCAACAACATTTTCATCATCAACACATCATCATCATCAACAACAACATCTTCATCAACATCATCATCATCATCACCATCAACATCCATCGATTTTGTGAAATCCATATCCATCGATTTCGATGAAATTGATCGATTTCAAACCCTGAAAAAAGAAGAAGAAGAAGAAGAAGAAGAAATTCAATCGACCGATTTCTCTCTCTTTCTCTCTTTCTCTTTCTCTTCCTCTGTCTTTCTTTTCGTGTCTGTTTGTCCCTTTGTTTGTTCCTCCGTCCTTTAGTTTCAGAGATCTAATAGGGGAAAAAAAAAAAAAAAACATTGCCCAAAACGACGTCGGGCCATTCGAGCCGAAAGATTTTCAAGCTACAAATCAGCCATTCGAGCCGAAAGATTTTCAAGCTACAAATCATTTTTCTTATCCAAAAGAACATTTATGTATTCAAAACTTACTTATTTGTTGATCTATCAGGGAAGCACGGGTGCGGGTACGAGTACGAGTACGGGTACGAGTGCGGGTACGCCGATTCGGCAAAACTCAAAAAAAGTATGATACTGGTACAGCTGCGGGACGCCTATATATATATATATTTTTTTTATAATTATGGTTAAAGGATCCAACCTATAAATTAAAATTAAATATCAAAACTAAAAAGAGAACTACTCATTTTCCTATAATTTAAAACCATTAAGCGTTAAAAATAATATTTGTGAAATCTCTCACTTTGACATGTTATGCACTGTCAATTTGTTATCATAATTTATTTTTAAAATCTTTCTTTTTGCTCATCAATTTGCTATTTTTATAGGGTGAGACCAAAGAAATAACAAGAGACCAAATAAAGATTTAAAGTTAATTGCCAACAGTAAAGGAAAAAAAATTCTCAATTGAGGCAGGTCGCAATTACAATTTGCATAATACATAAAATTGCATCATTCCCAACCACTACTAACCAACTAATACCGTATCAATTTTTAATATTTTGTGCATAAACTTTAAAAGTTTGTTATGATTAAAGATTTTATAAAGAAATTCTAGGAGGATTTGAAGGAAAAGCATAATGCATAGTCATACACAGAATTGCCCTTTATAGGACTTGTTATTTTTTTTGTTCAAATTGCTTTTTAAAAACATCAAAATCATTTGTTGATATGCTATTATGCTTATACAATTCATACAAATAGATAGGACAGCAGAGAAACATCAAAATTGCTAATCTGCAAGGGCACCAAAAAAACAAAAAAATAATAAATAATAATAAATAAATGCATTGTTGATCTGCAAGGGCAAAAAAAAAAAAAAAGGCCCCGGCGTACCCACGCCGTACGCGAATGAACCAAACATACTAGGCTCCCTTTTGCCGCGCCAGGTACGCATACCCATGCCGTACCCGAATGAACCAAATGTACCGGACCCCCTTTTGCCGTATTCGGTACGCGTGTAGCCGTACCAGTACGCATACCCGCACTTGGTAAGTACCCGGTACTCGTACGACACTATTTTTGGAATACCCGTGCTTCATAGCGATCTATTTAAATGTTTGACTATTTGTATACATGTCATTTATCTATTCAATATCATTTATTTGTCACACCACACAGGCACAACTGCATCCGTTGGGCACCGATTACTTTTTTGGTGATGTCGACTTTTTCTTCTGGTCAAACAAGATTAATCCTTAAACCTAATACTGAATGCATCCTTCAACTTAAATTTATCGTTAATTTTGTCAAAAAAAAATTTAAAAAATAAATAAATAAATAAAAACTACTAAAAAAGAAAATGGGAAACCCTCCCTCTCTAAGAGCATCCCCATCAACTCCCTTATATTTTACCCTAAAATATTATTAAAAAATTCATTCCATATTTTAGAAATTACTTTTTTATTTACTTTTTTTCAACAAACTCCATATTCTTTTCCTAAAATATTATTAAAATATTCTTTCACTTTTTCATCTTCTTGTTGGATTAATTGGGGACGGTGTTCACCAATATGGGTCCTCTTGAATGAACAGATTAGAACAAGTTTTTGTAATCTTTGACCATAATATATTACATCAATGAAAATGGGATAGATAGGAACAAAACAACACAGTATAATCAATCTAATAAGACAGAGAGAATTATAAATGTTGGCTTCAAAGTATTGGTAGAGCACATGAAAGCAAAATCTAGTAATTCTAATAGATGATCAGAAATTATAATTCAAAACTCTGTAAGAAAATCATTAAGAAAGAGAGAAGACATTGAAGGTTTGAGCAACTATGGATTGAGAATTGACAGAAACTATAGATGATCTCTACCTTCCACTTCTACAATTGTCATACATATACAAATATATATATATATATATATATAGAGAGAGAGAGAGAGAGAGAGAGAGAGAGAGAGAAAGAGAGAGAGAAAATGATATTAAAGGTTTGAGAATAGACAAAGCAGAGTAGTGACTAAGGGGCAGTTAACCAGTCGATCAACCTGCCAAACGCTTGGGTAGACGATTAGCGAAGCAAATTTTGCCTAGATTACTCATCTGGGGCATTCAGATGAACGACCATTGTCAGATATAAGAAAGTTACAATGACTCTTTACAAATAAGGAGTTACTGTAACAAATATTAGTTTAGAATGGCTGATAAGGGAGCTGATGACGTGGTATCAAAGAGCTCCAACCCCTTAAAATAGGTAAGGAATGATTTAAGGGGTCTGCTGCGGATGCTCGAGTTCGTTTGGGATGTGAGTTGACTTTTTGACTATTTTAATCTTGAACTAAAAAATCTCGTTCGGGTTAGGCTTTAGTTTAGCTTTTTTGAGACAAAAAAATGAAATGATTATAATTTAAATGTGTTATTTTGCCTTATCGACTTTTTAATCTATTTTATCTTTTTATAATTAAATAACGAAAAAAAAAAAAAAACTAAGGCCTTGTTTGATTTGTGTTTCTCAAAAAATTTTGGGAAAAATTCTCTACAAATAAGTTTTCAAAAGTAATCAAACCAAACAATTTTTCTCAAATTTTTTTTCGAAAACTTGTTTGGTTTACAAGTTTTCCAAACAAATCTCTCTATCATACACATCAAATCAATCACTTTTTTCAAAACTCTCTCTCAAAATAATTTTTCAAAACATCTTTTGAAAAAAAATCAAACCAAACAAATTTTCGTACTTTTTATCTCAAAACATGTTCCTCAAATACAAACCAAACAAGCTCTAAATTTTTTGGCATGCCAAATGAAGGTTAAACTTGATAAAGAAAATGAAATGACAGTAGCGGCTTTGCCGATATAAAGCCGCACCCATTCATTCAAGAAGCTCCATTTTCTTTTCAATCTCTTTTTCTTCTTCTGCAACACTGTTCAACTTCGTCATAAATCAATCTCAAACTCTCTCTCTCTCTCTCTCAGACACACACAATCACATGGAAGAAGAGCTCGAAACTTCCACCGCCACGCACTCTACATCATCAGACCTTCAAAACCCTAACAATGGCGAAACCACCATCTTCAACCAACACACCAATTCCGACATCGACAGCACTTTCTCCACCCCTTTCGTCAGCGCTACCTCCAGCCCCGCCAGTGGTGGTGGATTTTTCTACAGTGTTCCGGCGAGTCCAATGCATTTCGTGCTCTGTTCGTCTTCTCCGGTGTCTGAGGGGACAATGTCGGCCTCATTCGAGTTCGAATTTTCGGCTAGGTTTGGAACTGTAGGTTCTGCGTCGAAAGAATCGATGAGCTCGGCCGACGAGCTGTTCCTGAACGGCCAGATCCGGCCGATGAAGCTCTCGACGCCGCTTCTGGATCTACACGAAACCGAAGGCGATTTCGAGAATAAAATGAACGAAGAAGCTGATGAGAGGTTTCCGAGAGTGAAATGGCGAGACAGATCTCTGCGTAGAAGCAGAAGAACCAGATCTATGTCTCCATTAAGAACACCACTGTTTCAATGGCACGAAAATGACGATGAAGAAGAGCAAGAGCAAAAGCAAAAGCAAAAGACCGAGAACAAAAAATGCAATGTAGCTTTCGAAGCTCTCAAGAACAAGCAGAACGAGGCGGATTCGACGTCGACTCCATCGTCGAGGTCGAAGAGTTGGCTGTTTTTGAAAGATTTTCTGTACAGAAGCAAGAGTGAAGGACGGAACAACGGTCACAGCAAGTTCTGGAGCTCGATATCATTCTCGCCAATCAAGGATAGAAAGGTCTCTGAATCGGTTGCTTTTTCCGCCCCCGCGGCGGCGAAGGCGAGAGGAGCGGGGAAGCGGAGAGTGCCGGCGTCGGCACATGAATTGCATTACACGGAGAAAAGGGCGGAGGCGGAGGAGATGAGGAAGAAGACGTACTTGCCGTACAGGCAAGGATTGTTTGGGTGCTTAGGTTTTAGCTCAAAGAGTTATGATGCAATGAATGGTTTTGCTAGAGCTTTCAACCCTGTTTCTTCAAAGTAAATTAATCCATAATCTTATGTGTGTCTGTTGTATGTATAGAGATCATAGACTGGTTTCATTACATATGTTTTATAAAGCTCTCTCTCCATTGCATTCTGTCAAACATATTAAAAAGTGTTAGTTTTGTGGTTTGCAATTGTAATACGGAAAAGTTAGCAATCATGAAAAAAAATTTCATGAAAGAGTTATGATTTTTAGATTACTAATTCAGTTGTGCTTTATTTTAAGTATAATTCAAGGGTCACAAAGTTTTTATGATTATTTTTATGAAAGGTTTTTCATGATACCTAACATTACTGTTTCTTTTAACTTGAAAGATCAACTTGGGTCCGTGTTTGATAGACTTATTTTAAAGTTAATTTCGATAATTTAAATCTTTCCAATTTTAGCACTTTGTTAAGAATATTTATATAAAATATAATTGAACACTAATAGCTAATTACCCTATGTACATAAATATTCTAATGAACAAGACAAGTTTTTAAAAAAAATTAGATTATTGAAATCCATAAATATTCTAATGAACAAATTTTAAGTAGTAAATTCCTAACGAACAAATTTAAAGAAGTAAATGATTCAAGCCATCAGAGCCAACTTCAATTTCAAAATAAACCCACTAAGCTCAACTACTTTACATGCCCCACTTGAGAGAGAATCGCCATAAAACCCCGCTTGGGATGATTGTTGGTGCTAAAATAATCATATAAGATAAAATAAAGGAAAATGTTTGAGGGCCACAATTTTCGTGGCTCAAATGATTCAAAATTGTTAAAACAACGTCGTTTTAACAATTTTGAAATTGTTTTGTACTCAAAACGACGTCGTTTTAACAATTTTAAGTTATTTGAGCCACAAAAATTATGACCCTCAATCATTGCTGTAAAATAAATTATTTTAATCAAATAAAATAAAATGTAATATTCAATTCATAATCATTTTATTTTTTCTTTTACAAAAGTTAAAAGTCAAAAATGCAAAAAAATCTATCACAAATGAAACTTTTTAACCCCAATCTAAAATAACTAAAAAGTCAACTCACATCCCAAACAAATTGATTGGTGAGCAAAATAAAAATAGAATTGAAAGATCATTCTAAAATGTTTATTTTCATGTTATTTCATTAAAAATAATAATAATTAATTTAATAAAAATTATATTCATTACCGTAACATGCACAGAAGGAACAAAAAATGTTTCTATAAAATTCATGTCATATTGAAAAATCCAGTTTCACTTACTTAACAAGCTAAAATAGTGTAACTAAACAACATCAATCTTAATACTTGTTTTCCATCAACTATACGAATGCATCCCAACAAAAATAAAATTTTGTAAAAAAAATATATATTTCGGGTTGCCTAACCCAAGAATGAACTAATCCACTCCAGTTCCTTACTTTTAAATTCAAAACTAAATCATGTATTGACCCAACTTTGAATTTCCATGTTAACTTGAATCACCAAGCTTCCAACACAACAATAAAAATAAAAATTCACACAAAACTGGTTAAGGCAACTTGTTTTACCAGAAAAGGTCAGTGGGAACACCTGATAGTTTCCCGGCTACTGTATTCCTAGATTGGCCAATATGATCAATAGTCAGCAGCAATAACAATTTCCAAATTTGAGAAAAACACCGGACAGTCCGGTCCACAACCTTCCAGCACAAGGGTCAGAGGGTCAGATTTAACAAACAGATCATGATAATTTAACTAGAAAACAATCATACCAAGACACAGGATAAGTGCAACAGTAGCTAATGCTCTCGTTGTCAAAGAGTTGATAATTATGAGAGTTCAGAGTAACCATCGCATTATTGCTAAACTGTAACACTAGATGTCCACTACCTGTTTTCTTCTACTATAATTGAAACTTTGGTTGCAAAAATGTGTCAAGAAGATGTGCAATAAGAGCATCGCAAATAATACAAGCCCCAAGACAAAGAAAAACTTTGGGGACCAAACCCGGGAAGCAGAGTAACTCCAAGCTGCAACACCAAGGATGCAAATCGTCTCAGAGTTCAAGCAAAAGCAGACAGGATATTCTTCTTGAGGGCAAACTCATCAGCCTTTGCTTCACTAATGGCCTGCACCAACAAAACACGAATAGTGAATGAAAACGCAGATCAGAAACCCAGAAATTGTTGTTATGAAGTGTTACCACAACCATGCTTGCCAGCAACCAACAGGCGTGCCTTCGTAGCCTATCCACAGTTTCTACTCCTTTTGTTGCATTAATTAACTAAAAACAATACCTTTTTTTACTCCTTATTTTAGGGGTAAAGCTATTTCCATGGCCCCTTCTTGGCTGGCATCAACAGCCTTTTAACAAGGAAAGGGCTTATGCTCATGTTCGAGCCTGTGAAGCCACAGAGGCCATGAATGGAATCCTTTTAATTTATTCAAAGACAATAATAATAATTTGCAGTTGTCTAGAGGAATAATTAAATACGGGGAGAGCATTATAGGCTTGACAAAGACAAAACAACCATATCATAAGGGGACAACCAAATTTTACCTTCTTCAGCATGCGGTCCAGCCGCTGGATTTCATTATTGGCATAATCAGCACCCTTTTCCATACAGCTCTTTGCAGCTTTCAAGTAGATCTTTCCATATCTGAAAAGGGAAAGCAATAGCTACATAAGAAACAAACAGAAAAGATTGAAAATAATAAATCTCAGTTCGGATTTCAAGTGTTTAGATCTGAAAATTCTCTCAAGTGATTGCCATGACAATCACTGGCATCCCCATTTCTTACATAGATCATGTCTTCATAAAGTAAAACCTATAAGCCATTAACAACCACCTTGCAGGAGAACCCTTGAGCTTCTCAACTTCCTCCTCTATCTTGCCATAAACTGCTTTTTTCTCATCATTGCCAGCACTAACAAACTCCTTCACCAATGTATCCAAATGCTCAACTATACCAGCCTGTACAAAAGAACAGAATAAAGTCAAGTTAAACTAAGAGAAAAACAAAAAGAAAAAGAAATATGTTATATTGCGACCAGATCATGAACACTATCACTACTAACTTTGGAAGTCAGTTGTCCTTTTGAATCACGACTGGTGCCACACTTCTCATTGATGAAATTTACAAAGTCATCTAAATCTCGGCCACCATCATAATCTTCACCAGCTTTGTTGCTCTTTGGAAAAAATTTCAATGTAGGAAAGCCACTCACACCATACCTGTATAGGCAGGAAATTTGAATCAAGGAAGAGTTTCCACACAAAACAAAAACAAAAAATTCCCTAAGACATAGCATGCATGAAGGGTACAATTTATGAATGACCAATATATCAACTCGGAAATATAAAAGGAAGTTGAATTTGATACTGCAAAACCAAAAATTTCTGAGGGTAAAAAACGAACTCTAGTTATTCTCAACTCACTTTTCTCCAAGATCTTTGTATTTGTCAGCATCAAGATTAGCAATTACTACATCTCTCTCTAGCTTGAATGCAGTGGCAACCTTTTCATAAGTCTACATGACAGACAGAAGAACAAAATGAGGGATCTGCCGTTGTTTATATGCACCCTTACAAGCAACAAAATCAAAGAATAAAAAATATACTTACAGGAGCAAGGTTTTTGCAATGACCACACCTGTAAAACATAACACGTACCATATGGAGATAATTATAGAACACTAGTCATAAAACATCTAGGCATGAACAATATGCAAAGAAAATTGAACACACTCTTACCAGGGTGCATAAAATTCAACCAAAACATCCTTTGCATCATCCAAGACAATTTCATCAAAATTATCAGATGTCAGTACCACTACATTTGAGGGGACAGCAGCTATCTTCACATTAGTCCCTGAAAATCAAGAACACTACATCTAATCTTCACACACGAATCTTAAATTACGAATCTTAAATTCTGAATGTCAATAATGCATCAACTAAATTATGAATGTCAATAATGCATCAACTGAAGCTCATCTAAAGGTGCCATCTGGAAGCAAATCTCAGAAACACTACATCTAATCTTCACACATGAATCTTAAATTCTTAATGGCTGCTGCCTATCAAATACAGTTATTTATTTATTTTTAAATATGAACCACCACAAACAACAAAATAAGCATGTAAATGACTTGCAAGTTATATCCTATAGTCATCATTTAAGAATAATGAAATTTTAGTTGGTGGAAAAAAAGGCTTAACTATAGAGCAATTCCAAAGCACAATTACATCTCTCACGTGTTACAACCATAAAGATGAACCTCTTTACCATTGAAAAGCATGCCAGCTATCTCTAGAGAACATCATATTAACAAGGATGTCACAAAAATTCAGAATAGTTGCCAAGTAAAGCGAAAGGAGAAATATAGATGCACTGAAAACCAATTTAACTCTACCAAGGCCAAAAGGTAAGAATAGACTCCTCAAGAATAGTAATGGACACAAAAACAGGTTTATTTAAACAAAGCTATTTATGGCTCCCACGTACTAGTTTGTAACAAGTGATGAAGAAAAAAGAAAGCTCTCACAGCAGTTGGAGCTCCACAAGATTAGTACGTATCAGTTGTTTAAGTAAAATATTTTCTTACCAATAAAAAACACAACAAAATTTGGAGCTAAATGTTGATCAAAGGGAGCAGGGAGCAGGATAGCATGAAAGAGAATATCAAAAAGATGTGTGTGATTGCATTTGTAGGCATTTTGCTATCAGCAACGGCTCACAGATGTAATCTTACGAGGTAAGACCTCTTCTATTTAATAGTTATCCATCACAATTTTGTATTTCTAAAATTACCCAGCATTACATTATTTTGCTAACATATCTCATGTTGTTTAGGTTCTTCTTGAGCGTGCACTCACATTCTACTAGATATATCATGTCATGCATGCAGGTTCAAGTAGATCAAGATGTGTCTATTTGTACCAAACTAAGCTGTCTATTTGTACCAAGACGTGTCAATTTTAGCATCAAGACATACACGCCATCTTCTGGATTGTAAGATATCATATGAAACATTGTATAAAACGCATGTTAGGATGCAAACCATGTCTTTACTTCACACAAGTTTTATGCACACGATAACCAAGTCCCCACATCCCTTGTATCCATGTTGGACACCAGTATTCGTCGGACATGTACAATTATTTGTTTAATGTTTTCAGAAGCATATAAGCTCCAGACACTTGAGGGACGCAAGTGTCCATTGCTCAGACGCACATAAAACACATCACAAGTTTGAGAAAAAATAACTTGGTAACCAATTATTAAAATCAAAACAAGGTGAATAACATATTAATTCCTCCTACTTTATGCCTTTCAATTTTATGTTTTTGATAAATAAAAAAAAACTGTAGGACTTTTTAATTTCAAGAACTCTAAAATCTAAAACTTTGAATTTGTTTGAGAATAGTAAATGGAGTTCTTTAAGATACCTATTAAAATTTTTGTTCACACTTCTTTTCTACTACTATATAGATATAGGATGTGAAAGTAATTCTCTTACCATTTTAATAATAAAACATAAATGTATTTTACAACATTTAAAAAAATTGATGTCATTATTATTTTCACTTTTCGTGTATATATAATCATTTGTTGTAATGTGTTTGCAATGTCATATCCTAAGTTTTCAAAAATTGTTGTATCGGAGTGTCCATGCTTCTTAACCACATCGTAAGAAAATAAAAGGTCATGTATGTTCAATACATAGACACGTACCCATACCCAGTAGCAGGAAACTAAATCAAACAGGACACTTTATTGATTACAACTTTAATTTTTTTTTTTTTCTATAGCCAAAAATAAGAAGATAATAATATTTTTTGAATTAATATTAAGTACAAAAACTTAAATAAATTATTACAAAAGTATTTCACTTAAAATTTTACAATTAACTTCAAGTAAAATCGAAAAGAAAATATTATGTGTAATTAGTGTACCATGAACAATATAAAAAAGTTATATATATTTAAGTCTTAAAATAAATTATATAATAGTAAGATAAATCAAATTTTTACAAAATTTAAGTAAAAATTTCATATAATAGTGATATGATGTCATTATTAACATATGATATCATATTACCAATCAATAGTAAAGCAGCATATGAAGAGTGAACTCCACATGCAAATATAACTAACACTCTAGTAATTTTTTTTTATATATAATGAGATTAATTATATTTGCATATCAATAATGATGGATATTACCTTTATATTGAGATTTTTTCACAAAATTTTCATACATAAAAATATAATTTGTTGTAGTCACTTCATTTTCAATAAAACAATCACTATTGTTTTCATAAATTTAAAAATGTCCTTGACATTTTATTCTAAATATTATTTTTGTTTAAAATTTTATTCATATACATAGTATAAAAAAAATAAAAAAATAAAAAAATAAACCAGGAGGGGCACTGACCCCCTTGGACACCATGTGGCTCCGCCACTGCCCATACCCAACATACATACCTCCTAACTCCATGCAACAGCAACAAAAGAGGCTAAATAAACAAAAAAAAAAATCACACAAGAAAATTTATAGATTCGCATACAAAGGATTCTTACCCCCTTCACTATTCACAAACTCAACAAGGGCTTCCAAAGTACGTGCACCTTCATACCTAACAAATTAAAAAAAAAAACTATTAAGATAAGTACAAATTAAAATATGGAAAAAATTTAGGGTGGGGCAATAATTCAAATATGCAATGATTTGAAGAGCATATGCATGTTTGAAATCCTTAGGTGTTTCAATTATCTAAATAAAAAAAGAAATAAAAGATGATGATAATGACAATGAAGGTGGGAAGGAAAATAATCATAATGCCATGCACTCACTTTTTAGGCTCCAAGGACCCTTTGGGAAACCACTGGATTGTGGGATACCCAGAAACACCATATTTGCTACATACGCTCTTATGCTCATCGCAATCCACCTGCAACAAACGACCCAATCATCCAACAAACTACAAAGAACATCCAAACAAACCTCTGTTGATCAAAACAAAACCATTGCACTAAAAGCAAGGTGGTCTATCATGTGTTTTCTTGTAGGAAAATCTGATCACCCAATAAACTACAAAGGGGTAATTATTCTGTCTTCCTAAAACACCACATTGGTTGTATGCCCACACAATAACAAGGGGCTATGTGCTTACGTGGTCCAAAAAAGAAAAGAGCATAATGTGAGCAAATCACGAAACACCATTGGTTGAACACACAACCACATGGTATTCCAAACACATGTAATTATTTTTTACTATAAAGAACATCAAGACCGACTTCCATTGGTCAAAACAAAACCATTGCACTAAGGAGTAAGGTGTTTTATCATGTGTTTTCATGGGGGAAGGGGGAACAAGTATATTTTAAAAGATAATTCGAGGCAAAAGACTACAATTACACCAAAATAAATCCCATTGTTAACCACAAGCATTTATATCATGGTACAAAACTATGTTTTTATTTATTTATTCATTTAATTAGTATGACATTTCACCCTAACCAGATAAGGTACAAGAATTAAGGCTATGTTTTTAACCCATTATCCTATTTGGGTCATATTCATCTTAATTGGGTCACATAATCTCTCTACCACATCACTTCAAATTTAATCAATATTTCACATTTTTTCGTAAAAAGTCAAAAGGTGTGCTAAGAGCTTTTAGCACTTCTCAAACAACCCCTAAATGGCATTAAATTAAACCATGCCATTTTGAACATCAGCTTTAAATACAATTTCTTAGATAAAAACTAATATTTTTCTTCCTAGTCTATCATATAATGTAAACCAAACCAAACCAAGCCAAGCCTTAAGTTCCATCAAATGGGGTCGGTTACATGAATCCTTCTTCTTCACGCGGCCCTATCAAAGGTCTCTTCATTAGTCAAATTAAGTAGATTCATATCTCTATTTATAACGCTAGTCAACGTTAATCTAGACCTACCCCGTCCCCTAACACTTCCATCTACCGTTACAGCATCGCATCTCTTCACTACTGCCTCTGTTGGTCTCCGTTGAATATGACCAAACCATCTCAAACGATTCTCTCTCAACTTATCTTCTATCGGTGCTACTCCTACCCATTCCCGAATACACTCATTCCTAATCCTATCCTATCTAGTCTTACCACACATCCACCTTAGCATCCTCATCTCAGCCACACTCATTTTATCTACATGTTGTTTCTTGGTTGCCCAACACTCCGTCCCATACAACATAGCTGGTCTAATAGCCGTTCTATAAAGCTTACCTTTTAGTCTAGTGGGTATTCGTTTATCGCACAATACCCCAGACGCACTTCTCCACTTACACCATCCCGCCTTAATCCTATGGGCCACATCTGCATCAATCTCTCCCGCTATTGTGATAATCGACCCTAAGGCCAAGTTTGGCTACTACAAAATAATCTATCTTTTTATCTTTTTTCCATCACATCACCTCTCTACTTTTCTGCACATCTTTTTGTAAAAAGACAAAAAATACACTTATTTAGGTCATCCCAAACAACCCCTAAATAACGAAAATGTTCACTCTTAGTCTATCATATAATGTAATACCAAAAAAAAAAATCCTTCAAAATTTTTAACAAACAATTTGCCCACGGAACGGAAGAGATCATATGACAATTTAAGGAAAATTGAATATAAAAAAAAAAAGTCAACCTTACTGTTGCATCAACACTGCAAATTCAGAACCTCCCCAAACCAACAGTAAAAAAAAATTAGAACACACATCAAATTCTTCTACTGAAAAGGTTCATCCAAATTAAGGGAAATTCTTGAAAATATAGGTTATCCAAAGTTCCAATATTCAAAAATTACAACAAGCCATCTTCATGGTCCCAAAATATACATCTAATCATATACTCCCTCTGTCCCAATTTGTCTGTCCATTATAGAGAATCCAACTTATTAAGGAGACATACAATCATTACTGTTAATTTAAATTTTGAAATGTTTTTCCCACCATTGCCTTTCTAGTTGAATTTCAAAATGTGTTTACAATGATTTATAGTGGGCAATTTTGGAAATCTAACAAAATTTAGTATCTCAAAATAGAAAATGGACAAACATTTTTGGACGAACTAAAAAGGAAAGGTGGACAAACAAAATTGGACAGAGTAAGTATACAAATATATACATGATTAGAGCTATTTAATCTATCAATAGAACACCATGACATACACTCATACAACAAGCACTGAAAAACTTAAATCTTCAAACTTGAAAAGATTGTTCCAGGATCTCGAAAGACTAACCTTTCCAATCAAAACAGACTTTGCCTTCTTGAAACTTGCACCAAGTTTCTCATACTCTGGAGCAAGTTTTTTACAATGCCCGCACCTACCATGGAACACAAAATTATAGGTGCCACCATCAGATAAACCAACCAAACATACATGAGATTAGGGGGGAAAACACTGCATAATAAATATTTGTTATGAAGAGAAATAAACAGAAAGAACCATATAAAAGTCAAATGGGAAACTAGTGTTCAGGAAAGTAGCCTAATTACAAACATATCAAATAAAATCACAGAGTCTTCTAGTAGATAAATTTGGAAACAGGAGGTTCAGATAATATTCTGATAATAAAAATAAAAGATCATCATGCTAGAATACAGCACAATCTCTCACTTCATTTTGTATTCTAACGGCTGTAGCTAATTTAATGATTCACTAGCGGCCTCATGACTACCAATATCAAATCTCCCAAAAACACACTTTTTGATATTTAATTTTCCGATTCGCCCTGGTAGGGGACCAAGTTTGTAAGATCATCATTTATCAGTGATGATGTGACAAAGGTTTCTAGTTGCCAGCTGCTATAGTAAGGAATGAATGCTCAAAACTGGGAAAAAATAATTAAGCACAGATAAATCATGTAGGTTCTAAATTTTACAATAGCACGGTTTGAAGCAATATTTAAAATTTCAACAGCATTTTGGCGCCTTCTTAACCAAAAACCAAGGCTGATTGTGCTTCCATTCCAAGACCCAGGTTTATATGATCTATCAATTTACACTGTGTTTGGACCATTGATTTGGATAAGGATTTCAAAAGGCAATGGGGAATGCCACCCCCCCCCCCCCTTGAAAACCGCCCCCCCCCCCCCCCCAAAAAAAAAAAAAGAGCTTCTATTTTATTTACATTGTTCTCACATTTTCTCTTTCCTTTTCCCAATCACTACCCGAATCAGCAACAACAATAGTGATAATATAGTGACCAATGTGCCAAAATTTACTTTCAATATGAAAAACAAGGGTTTTGTTTGGTTGAGATTTTTGTTTCTGAAATTTTTTCAACAAATTACAAGCTAGTTTAACAGAAACAAAAACTACAAAAAAAAAAAATTGAATTTTTAAAAATTACTTTCATCCCAAAAAGAGAGAAAATGATATGAAAATAATGAGTTTTTAATATTTTTTTTTCACAAAGTTAATTTAAAAAAAAAAAATCAAAAACAGATGAAACTAAACCAAACAGAGCTTTAAAAAAAAAAAAAAACTATATTCGCATGTGTATATCGTTACACCAACTCAATCAATTTAGCCCAGAAGTCAATAGATCACTCAGATCTGTATTACACAAACAGATCTATTCATCAAAAACATTTAAAATCAGTGACATCAAGCACATAACTATTAGCTACTACTACAACAACGATCAACGAATCAATCTGAACTCAAATCAACATTCTATATAACAAAATTAAGCATAAATAGCGATCTTGATAGGGAATTTTTGTACCAAGGAGCGTAGAACTCGACGAGAGCGCCTCGATCTTGACCGATCTCCTTCTCGAAATTCTCCTCCGTCAACACGACTACATCGTCAGCAAAGGCCGACAAAGCTAAGAACAAAGCTAGGGTCACGAAAACCCAACAGATCTGCGATCTGTTACTCGACATTTTTGTCTCTCTCTAGGAGTCGGAACTCTCAACAAAAATTATTGACGCTCACTGTGAAGAGAGATAAGAATAGAGCAATGAAATGTTGAGTCAGTCGTCGGACTCTCTGCGGTGCATTTTATAGCGGTCCGATTTTTATTTTTATTGAAAATGTATATATAAGTTGCTGTTCCGTAACAACACGGTATCTCTATTTTTTTTTGAAAATTAATATGAAGAGCCAACTACAGGAGATTTGGGAATCGATTTAAAATATATATATTTTTTTTAATATAAAGAGCCAATTACAGGAGATTTAGGAATAGATTTAAAATATATATATTTTTTTTATTTAATTTCATATATGTATTTTTTTTTTCTTTTCAAATTTTTCTTCAAATCTCTAATCAAAAATAACATAACGATCCTTATAGTTTAGATTTTGTATTACTTTAATTCTTAATTTTTTAATTATTATATATTGGATTCTGAATTTTAAATCTTGTTTCAAATAAGAACAATTAAAAATACCATTAGTCAATTTTGAGGGCAAAATCATCAATTTGATAAAATAGAAACAAATTTGACAAAAATAAATGTTAAAAAAGTATTTTTGAATTTTTAAAAATTATTTCTATCTACCAAAGATAAAATTATGTAAAATTAATAAATCTTCTACACGTTTATTTATTTTATAAAATTAATTTTTATTATATATTTAGATGATGTTCTTATAATATGTGGTTGTTAAGCTGTTAATATTAATTGATATATTTAATATATTAAATGTTTTTAATTTTGAATTTTTTTATTTAATAGATTGGTTAATAATTATATCAAAATTGTCGTCATATTTGATTTTTGAAAAAATAAAAATTAATTTAATGAAAATAAAAACAACCATTCATTTCATGATTATTATCCAAACACATAATAAAAATTAATTTGATAAAATAATTAATTATTTAAAATTTTATCAATTTTATATAATTTTATCTTTAGTGAGTAAAAATAATTTTGAAAATTTCAAAAATATCTTTTTGACATTTATTTTTGTCAAATTAGTTTATATTTTATCAAATTAACGATTTTGCTCTTGAAATTGATTAATGATATTTTCAATTGTCTTTATTTGGAATAAGATTTAAAATTCAAGATTAAATATGTCACAATTAAAAAGTTAGGGATTAAAGTGATATGAGGCCAAAGACTACTACTGTAATTCACCCTAATATAAAAATCTATTTTGTAGACTCATTTTTTAAATATAGTGATGTGTTAATAATTAATTATTAATCAATTATTTTCTTGAAGTCTAAAAAATAAGTTTAATTTTTAGATCTAAATACTAATATTCAGAGTGTTTTGAAAAGATAGTTAAAATTTGACTTTTTGATTTTTTTAATTTTTTGACTTTTTTATGTGAGAGGAAAAGTGGGTTAAAAAATGAGAAGTGACAGCTTTTTAATTTAAAAGCCACTTCCCACTTTTTAACCTACTTCCCCTCTCACATAAAAAAGTCAAAAAGTTAAATTTTAACTATCTTTTCAAAACATGAGTGGATTGGATCAGGGTGACTTTTAACCACTTCCCCTCTCACTCTCCAAAATGAGCTTCAAAAAGTGGGAAGTGACTTTTAGCCCCGGTTTGGCAATCGTTTTGGGGCTATATAAGCACAACACGACAAATTTTGACTACAAAATCACAAATAGACAAACGAAATGGACGCATGTGGTGGGAAGCACGTGTAGGAAGGAACAATGACGAAAATACCCCATATTCAATTGGTCGTTGTTTGACATGTATTTTGGTAGGGTTTCCTAATGAAACACACTTCAACTTCACAGCGATGAAGAACGAGAGAGGAGAAGACGGCGACACAGCATCCGACGACCGATCCAGGCCTACAGTGCTTCGTCAATGCCTCCACCATCCTTCGCGCATAACATTGTGTCGTCGTTGCATCTCTGGTACGCATAACTCGCTCTATTTTGGAGTTTTCGTCTCCTTCCACGAGATGTCACTTATTTCTACTGTGTATGTTGAAAACCTGGCGTTTTGAACTTGGATCACTGGTAAAACATGTATTTTGCTGTCAATGGTGGTTTAAAACCGAAGTCGATGTTCATGTATTTTGATCTGTTGTCGATGAACTGAAGCAGATAAAGGATGGTAGTGTTCATTTGGTTTATTTGTTTTTTTTTTATTTTTTATTTTTTTTATTTTTTTGTTCAGTTTTTTCTTTTTTAATTTTCGTTAATTTTTTTTTCGATTTTGTTCGGTGTTCTGAATTTTTTTTTCAAAGTCAGTGGCCGTCAAAGTGGTCCAAATTTTTTTGGAAAATATTTTTTTTCCTTTCTCTTTTATTATGATTTTTTAAAATTTTTTTGTTCTTGTATCACTGTTTGTTGTCACTCGTTGAACACAAATTTTTTGAACTCGCACTACAAATGGTTTTGCTGGTTGGTTTGATTGACAGAGCAATTGGAATGTTAGACATATAATTTCTTGTACTGAACAGGGCAATATATTTATCTGTTAGTTGGTGCGTCTGCTACCATTTTCTAAATTACAAATGTGAACCATATTTTGTTGAACATCTGTTAGGAATGCTTTCATTTTGTTTTTCTTAACTCAGTGGACATACTGTCCAGTAGTTGGTTATATCCATATTTTGGTTGGAGAAGCATTTTCTGAAATATAGACTACACAGAGCACAGCATTTGCACTTGTTAATTTTTTTTTTTTTCTTTTTTGTTGAACTTCTCTTTCAAATCTATTAGCAATTGTTGGTTTCTTTGTGATCTATGACTATTTCTTCTTGTTTGTTCTTTCACCACCCAATAGTTGTGCCTTCGCCTGATCTGTCTATTACTTTCTATATGTGTTTCTGCATGGTCTTCAATGTAATCATAATTAAAGGGCCAACTAACTAACTGAACATGTGCCGTAGCTAATAATGTTGCTTTCCCTTTTGTAATTATACTGTGTTAATTTTACTCCTTTCAATTATGTTGGATGAGTAACACTTTCCTAACTGTTAAACGAAAAACAGTGAGCTAAATTTTTCAATTCTCTTGGCTTCGGTCCATTGGAGAATGTTGCTTATGTCTATGCAATCCTATAGGTGTATGTGTATATATGCATTGGTCGGTATGTGTTATTGTATTTATGCCATAAACAGTACTGGTAAACCAATTATGTAGTTAAGTGCAATAGGGTGTATGCTAACAACTGTTGTAGGACATAACCATCTCATTAGCACACATATCATATACGACAAGCACACAACTTATTGACGAAAATGTAACCACATAGCTTTTCCTACACCTTATGTTTGTTTGCTATTCATCTATGTTACAAAACAAAGCATGGCTTCATTCATGTCAAGTGGCACATCTACTCTATGGCCACGTCGTACGTGTGCCTGTGGCTACGGTCAATGTGTTGTCAAGATTTCCAGATCTCACAAAAATCTAAGACAGGCTTACTATGCGTGTCCAAATCCTGTGGTGAGTACACCCAAATTTTTTGTAAAATATTATCATTTCAAATCAAACTAGTTTACTAATAGCTTTGTACGTACCTTTCGTCAGCCATGTTTAAGTTAGATTGGTTGGTGCGACGAACGTAGGCGACTGAACACAGAGTCTGACTCCGCCACGCATGACATTGTCATGCAGTTGCGGGATGAGGTCACTCACATGCAACAAACGCTGCGTATCTTGAAAACCATTGTTTCTGTGATGTGCATTGTTGTTGTAATCTTTTATTGTTGCGCATGTGAAAATGTGAAATGTGTCTTGGAACACCCTAACAAAGCTAAGATTGTAAGGACTTATGCTTTATTGTGGACATGATACGTACTAGTCGTTGTCAATTACGTGTAATGGAATGGTGGTTTCGATCTACAAAATTATTTGTTGGTAGTTAATCTTAATTTTATGTGTAAGTTAACGTGAAAATTGTTACTTTTTATAACTTTTTGCGCCAACTCGTTTGGGTGAGTGATTAGCATACATTTATAAGCTACTTACGCTTTAATTTATTAGTTGCATTGTCATTATGGATTCAACACGACCTTCACCACGTACCGTTGCCAAGAATAAAGGGGTTGGAAGTGCCCGAGCTAACGTTCTTGCCGACAACCAAAATGTTCACAAAGCTGTGTGGGCTTATGAATCCACACAGCTTTTCCTACAGCTTATTGCCGATGAGATTGTTGAGGGCAACCGACCATTCATGGTTTTGAGCAGCGCTGGGTATAAGTCTTTGGCCAAGAAGTTTGAAAAAAAAAAAGCTGGTAAAAAACATGATGTCAAGCAGTTGAAGAACAAGTACGCATGCCTCAAACGAGAATGGACTGCTTGGATAAAGTTGATGGATCGTACGAAAGGCATAACCGGAATTGGCTTTGACGCTGAAACAAGCATGTTTCAGGCTTCTGATGAATGGTGGGATCGTATGGAACTAGTAAATTATTTACACTATGTTGTTACCTTTGTACATTGCTTTAATTTTTATTTTTTTTTGTAACATATTATCAGTAATGGTTTGTGTTTCCTTTGCTGCAGATAAACAAGAGTTGTGCAAAGTTCAGGACTAAGACTTTGAAGCACCGGGAGTTGATGGAGATTGTCTTCACAGGCGCTGCTGCAACAGCCAGACATCATTAGACACCGGGGGAGAGGACTGTCGAAGATAACGAGGGATCTTCTGATTCAGTTCAAAGCCTTAGTATGCGGCCTTTCGCAGATCCAATCCCTTCTGTTGGTATTGACGTGGATGCTGAGTCGTCAATGGAAGCTGTTGAACCTACGGTTGACCCCGGCGCAAAAAGAAAAAGGAATACTCCTGCAAGTTCAGGAAAGTCGAGGAAGCCGACTAATGGAGCATCTGCCATAGCTGACAGCATTAACAATCTGAGCAATGTCGTCCGTACTAAAAACCAAGAAGTTACTGTGAGGCATTTAACTAGGAATGAGTCGTTGTATACCATTTCAGAGTGCATGGACAGGTTGAAATCCATTCCTGCCTTGGTAGGTACACCGTTGTTCCACTTTGCATCATCTCTTATGGACAACGCTGATTATCGTGAGTTTATGATGTGCCAGCCCGATGATGACAATATAATTGGATGGCTTACGCAAAAGCAACTACAAAGCAGCATTGCAGCTCTATTTGCGAACCTTTTTGGTGCATGGCGGGTTTGATGGATACTAGGATACGCCATGGGGTTGGGCGACTTATGAGAAGTGATGGGTTCTTTCGGTGTTATATGTTAGCGTGTTAAGGCGAACTTGTTACAGTGTCAGATATTTAGGACATCTTATGCTTTATTTTCCTTGTTTTTTTTTTAACTTTTTTTATTTGGGCTTGTTTGGTTTGCTTAAGTTGGATGTTTGTGTGTTTGGTGGAACAATACGATCAGGTTGTTAGGTGTTTATTATGTTTTTCGTTAAGGTTGTGTTGGTTTGGATTGAATGGCTGATTTATGCATGTGTAGTACTTGTTAGCTTGCTTTTTCAATAATTTATGCATAGTCTAATGTTCATGTATATTGGTGTCAATGTTAGTTAACGTTGGACATATGTCTTGTAGGCCTCGTTGAAGTGGTGGCCATGTCTAACGGGGAAGGTAGCAACAACACTGACTTTGTCGAGCAAATTAACCAAATGACAATTCAGATACAAGAACAAAATAACTGGACGTACGTGCAAGCATGTCGGTACGTACAACAATATTACGCAAACTACATGTCAAAAACACCATGTCGAACGTCAATATTGACTGGAGGTGCATGGATATGTGAATTATATGACGGACACATTGGTCGTTTTGAAGAAAATGTTTGTATACCAAAACATGTATTTTCCTTATTGTGTGACACGTTAGTTAGAGATTTTGGTTTATGTGTTAACCAACGTAGCCATGGATTAGCCGTGGAAGAAAGCGTAGCAATGTTTATACATGTGTTAAGAGGGTTTAAGAATAGAGCCGAACAGTTTTAACATTCGGGTGAAACCGTATCACGCCACGTGCATAATGTTTTGGAGGCGATGAAGCAGTTCACGGTTGTGCATTGTAGGCCAGCAACAAATCAAAATGTACGACATCCTCACTTGCGGTCAAAAATGAAATACCTACAATTCAAGGTACAACTCACATATGTGAAAATGTACCAAAAAGTTATGGGCCATATTACATGTGAAAAATTTTGCTGACTTTTGTGCTCTTAGGATTGCATCGGTGCGATCGATGGCACGCATGTTGTTATGAAAGTGACGGGGCCTGAGGCATGTAACAACCCTCATACTGTTTACCGACTTATGACTGATTGATTACCGTTAAACTGAATTGATTACGACTGATAATTGAACTGATTAAAGTACGGAACTGACTGACTGAAATTTGGAAACCGAATTGATTGAGTATATGTTAGTTAAATTGCATTATATCTGTTTGACTGGATGATTATCTGTTCATGCTTATATGTTTAAACTGCTAATTGAAGGCCATATCGGCGGCCGAATTAGAAACCGATTGATGTTCCATGACCCTCAGAATTAATGTGATTTTATGGTATATTTATCTGAAAATTGATTAGGTATGATTAAATTAGATTAAAATAAGCCAATTAAAGAGTTTGCCATATTTACCATTTTGCCACTATCTCATATACACACACTTGAGCCTTATACTTGAATCAAAACACATTTTGATCAGCCATTTTCCTTGCTTTAGCCGACCTTGAGAGGGAGAGAGTGAGTTTCATCTTGCATTGCTTGGAACTTGGTAGAATTGCTTGGTAATTGAAGTGTATTTGCATATTTGAGCTCCCTCACTCCTAATTCTACAAGACTAAGGTAGGACATCCATCTTCTTGTTGCTGTCCTTGAGTTCATTCTTGCATGATTCATGTTAATTTGTAGAGCTAAGTCACATACAAACAACAAGAACGGCCGAACTTGGGTTACTGACTTTGTCCTATATATTTCCCAACCTGCCGTGATTGCGCATGTGTACCAGACGATGTCGTATGACATTTCGGACAAGTTCCATATCTGGATCATCATCCCTAATGATTACTCCATCCCCTCCATACGGAGCAAACAACGAAATGGCAGTGATTATGTTTGTCGCGTCGGCCTTTGTCACTATGGGTTGAACATTTGGTTGGATTTCCCATATTTCTCTGTATATAGTTATGCAATGCCATTGACGCACCAACTAACTGCACCTGCGCAGTGGCAAAATCATAACGAAGCATATTTTCCAGAAAACCCATCGACTTTTCCACAACCCAAAGGTTCGTTCCACAACACTGCGCACCGACGAGTGTACCTTATTAAATAATTCTCGTGGGTTCACTGCATTCCGTGCACCTCGCCAAAATCTTCTTGGTGGTAACGATGGCCCTTGGATGGAGCGAGGTAACCCGTTCGATTAGGATAGCCCGAATCAACAATATAATATTTCCCTGTTGGATGTGAACAAATAACGTTATTTGAACATAGTGTGCATATTTGTACATAGTGAATTTTGAAATGATAATTCTGCATTACCTTTCTAGGATGTGGAAACAGCACATTTTCATTGTTGATTATTTCAGCAAAAACTCTACTGTCATGCATACTGCTTCCTATCCAAGTGATACAAACGTAAAACACATATTGAAATCCACAACCGCCATGATGTTTGTGTGTGACAGTATTTGCTTCCAAAATAGGTTGCTGCCTTGTCATGACCCAAACCCGGCCCTATGGGTTTAGCACCGTAACCGGCCAGTAATCCGAGATTACCGAGGCCTGCTTAACAGTAATACAGTAAAACAGAGTACAGGGCCTGGCGGAAGCGAATACAGTAAGTAAATAGTGTCCATTGAGCTGTGACAGTCTGTATGCCAAAAAAGATTTTTCAATGCATCCATACATACACAAACAGTACAGTCTATACAAATTTACAGTCACACAGTACAGGGACCTAATCCTTGATAACAGTACAGTTAGCAACAGACAGTCTATAACATAATCCAAACAGTATGGAGACAGACGGGGGAAACAAACAAAAACCCAAAGCCATAGCATGGCAACTCGGAACCTTGCAGTGAGGCACAAAGGCTAGCTTGACAAAACTGGAGTTACCCTGACGCTCCTAGCTCGATCTGGTGCCTGTACACTACATATATATATGAGCAGTGAGCTAAACCCAGTGAATAACATAAAGCGTAAAGGGGTTTAGAATGAATGTCCTTACAGTAATGAAAACAGTTCAATTCAATCAGTATTTCAGTTGTTCAGTACAGTAAACAGTCATATGTGT